AATTTAAGCAGAGCAATATGGAAGTTGATTCTTACTACGAAGATGATGCAAGGTCTCCCTTTTAGGTTACCAAACAAGCTTACTTACAATAATTACATGTTAACTAACTACATAATAATTTCGAGATTAAACAATAGGTAAGTATACAATGAGAGATGCATGGCCTATGTTTACTTCCCTTTGAAGTGGTGAATACAATAGTATATCCAAACAACTAACTTCTCTCAAAAAATTAGCAATAAAAAGTTTAAAGTAGATATGAATCAAATATAAACATAAGTACCTTAGGTATAGGTGGCACTTAATTAGTTGTGCATCACCCTCCCAATGAAATAAGTAAACCAAAGACTTATCAAGATAAGCATCATAGTCATTGAAAAGACAAAAGTATCCGGTGCCTATCTCCATCAGCTTAATATCAGAAGATATCTGAAAAACCTCAGCAATATCCTTGCTGTTTTAATGGATAACTGCCATGCACTTGTAAGAACTAGTTAATAATTGTGTATGAGGTCAAAATTTTAAAGGAGAAGATTGAATGGATAATAATGTATGCATTTATTTGTCTTAGAGCATCATATTTTATCACGTTCACGGATATAAAACCTTAAACTAAATCAAATGAAATGATGCGTTGTTTGCAGCTTACTGCTTACACGTTCACAAATAACAGCTAAATTTTTATGGGGAAAAATCCCCCAAAACCAACTCTCATTTTGAATAAATCTTTCGACCCTGATAATGTTATTTGTTTCTCGAAAAATCCCCCAAAACCAACTCTCATTTTGAATAAATCTTTCGACCCTGATAATGTTATTTGTTTCTCGAAATCACTTCTTTGATTCAACTCTCATTTTGAATAAATCTTTCGACCCTGATAATGTTATTTGTTTCTCGAAATCACTTCTTTGATTCAGAACGAACATCGATGAAGGGTTTCAAAAATTTTGAGAAACAATATTTCGCTTCCTGTAGAAAAAAGACTTTAGAGCAAGATATAGGAATGACATCTTATTGTCCTCCTGTTTATGTGTTGGCTTGCACATGGATGAAGAAAATATTTTCTTCATCCATGTAAAATTTCAAAAGATTAATAATCATGTGCCTTGTTTGTGCTGGCATCCCATGATGTCTTCTCACTAGAGAAAATAGAAATTTGTTCTAGAGATTGTGATAATGTAGTTTATTGGTCCATTTTAGATCCATTCATTAGTCGACAGCTAAGCCGACGGGCCTGCGTATACGAAATCAAAGCTCTAGATTGATAAATGGTCATTTGACAAATGTTCTGTATACATTGACTAAGTGACTGTTCAGATAATGAAAGGAGCACAAAACAAATACCTCTACTACAGGTGGCATTTGTCTGTAAGCAAGTCATTATCATTTGAAAGAGAAATTATTTCTCACTAAAAAGGGAGAGTGTGAATGTTACCGTGCCATCTCACTCACATTAGGCCTCTGGAGATGTCAGGTTGACAAAAAGTCATAAAATTTTGATTGCTTCCTCTTTACTCAGTCAGTGCGTTTGAGTCAGAGAGGAAGAAATAAAGTAGAGAAAACAGTTCCGCATAATCTCAATCTTATGTTAAAAGCATATAAATTTTACGAAATTGGTATTTAGACATTGAAACTATTTTTATCACAAATGTAAACTGCAAATTAAGCTGTCACTAATAATTAAATAGGCAGCAGCTCCATTAGTATATTTTCTGACTGGATGCAGAAACTAAAGGATCGGGCACAACTTTTTCTTTTTCTTCTGTTTTATGGGTCTTGGAGGTTGAAGTACGATTTTGATCGCAGAATCGAAAACAGCCTTCACATTCTGCATCAGGACATATTTCATCAGTACTAATAGGACTTTAAAGCTATAATGAAATAGAATAAAATTGCAGCGATAATTTCAAGAAATTCTATGAAATGGTGACTATGTTATTCTGTTCCATGAAAAGAAAATATCATGGATACTAATTCATACCAAGCACTGTTAGTTTTATCCCTGTCAATAAACACCTATGTGCATCTATTGCTTGCAGATGAGCCCAACACTTAAGTTCTTGAAAAATATATGGCTGAAATGCATTAGGATCTTTTGGAAAAAGTATAGTTAATTATGGACTGGACTCATTGTTTCATTTTCTTGAACCATACAAAAGTATATATGTGCAAATATATCTGGATAGAATATAGTTGTTATGGCCACGCTCACATAAGAAGGGATATTATTACTTGAGCCTCTTCATTGTTAGTGTCAGGTTAGTTTTATTAATGGTACACACAAACTTTAGTCAGAAAAGTTACAGTGAAAACTAATTAGAATCTCTCACATCCAGAGCAACGATATTTTCACATCAATACTAATAGCACGTCAGGGCTTAAAACTTGTGACAACAGAGAAAGACTTCACTCTGAAATCCTTATATAGCATATAGAATGGCTGCACACAAACCTGCTGAGTCTTAGAACTACACTCAACGTATACCGATGCTCCTATTTGCTTCTTTAGTTCCTCACCCTGAAAATAAAAACATCAAGGCATAGTGAGTCCATTTTTGGCTGAGAATAATCTTGCATGCAATTACTGAGCTAGTAACAATAATGTTTCTTTGTATTGGTGGTTCTTTATTTTCAATTTTATTGGAACCATAAATGTAGATTAATATCTTAGAGTGTTTATGTTCCTGCAAAATGCCAATGCAACTTTAAAAGAGGTCTCAAAAGATGTCAATTTCTGTAATATGGCCCCTTAATCAAAGGTTTCTACTTCTGCATATAGTTTGGGTGCTAAAAAAGAACATTGAGGAATAACAGAATCACACCCTGATTATAAATCTAGATTCAACTAAACACTTGTATACAATGACAGTACACATTTCTTAGGAAAGAAGAACACGAGTACGTTTCTCCATTAATTAGAATGTTCCGAGTATCGCCTATTACTTACCAGCATAAACAGTAGTAAAAAGTTTATCATGCATGAAATTAATCGCAAAATTTTAACCATAAAATGTGGCGGTAACAGGAAATTAAAAATTACCTGCGCTGTTGAGATAGTAGATGCACCAGGGTGGTCCGTCAGAAATTGTGGGTCATCTCTCAAATCTGATAAGAACACATTCATATATTACCCTCAGTAAGCTATTCCTCCTTTGGACAAAGAAAAAACCAGGCTAAACTTCAGAAAATTCCCCTTAACATTTTCACTGCCAGAAATATCACCCTGTCTAATTCTACCCATCCATGTGAAAACTGCAGTTACACTGTTAGGGGGGTTTTCTGTTAAATTCTTGAAGTTCAAATGGAATTTTCTGATAAATCCTAAACTTAAAAGGGGGCTTTCTGACATTTTGAAAGTTATATCTGGTAATCATCCAATGTTAAGGGGGTTTTCTGTGCTCAGATTACAAATTGTCCGCGCACTCTTGACAATAAAGTAGATCTCGCTTCCACAACTCTCGGTCGCATATTATCTTAGACCTTATTCTTATTACTATCCTTATCACTTTACTGAAGAGGGAAGCCATTTGTGCGAAATGTTCCACGTATATATCTCCATAAGAAAATAGTTTGAAAGGTAAATTACACTTAACCCCCAAGAACATCAAGCACTTCGTAGTAAACCCCCGATGATTTTTGCAGAAAACCCCCAATCTCTTTGGGGTAAATTAATTACCCTACATCCCAATAACTTTCAAAATGCCTTCTTATGTTGTTTTCTGGTTCTAATTCATGGCTGTCATCTGGAAAATGCAGAAACTTATTGGGATTTTTCAACAACATGTGAAAGTTATTGCGGTTTTACTGCAAAACTCTGAAAGTTCTTGGGGGGGGTTTTGTGTAATTTAACCTATTTTAAATTATTCTATGTTTGCAATATATTCACATGTCCTTCGAATGGGTATAGTTGAGACAAGACTTGACATATTCATACATAATGAGATATCCTTGTTACTTTTTATCTAGGATAAATGCTTTGCCATCGTAGCAGTCATATATCAACCAATAAATTTCACAGGTTCCATTCTCTCTAACAGGGAAACTGTACTCGGTTAAAGCTGTATTAGAGCATCTCCGACCCAACTCCAAATACCCATTTTAATGCAAATTCAGCGCCAATTCTTCCTCCAACCCAATGCCAAACTTAGCGTCATTTTAAAGTGGTGCTACAGTATTGCGCCAGGAATGGCTCAACATTGTAGATATGGAGATTTTGGTTTTTTCCAAGTTTGCCCTTATAGTTTGTTATAACAAATTAAATATTCCAACCATATCCCATTTTATAGTTTGTAAATAGAAGGAATATTCTTTTTGATGTAAAATTTGGTGTAAAGGTTGGAGATGGAATAGTGATTTGGTGTAAAAACTACACCAACTTGGTGTAAAAACTACACCATTTTGGATTTTTGGGTTGGAGATGCTCTTAGAATTTACAACTTTTCGGAAATTACTTGTCGATCACTGGATAAGACAACTAAGATAGTATGAAGAACCGATACAGGAGCAAAGATAAAGCTGTACCTAGTTTGGTGCCCACAAGCACAACGGGGACTGACTCGGCATAATGTCTAAGCTCCGGCATCCACTTTTGTCGCAGAGACACACCATATTCATATTAATAAGCAATCTATAGTCGATAACATTATATGAGAGGAAAAAGGATTCAAGCTTTACTTTCTTGCTGACATTCTCGAAACTAGCCCTGCTGATGAGGGAGAATGCTAGGAGGAAGACATCAGCTCCTCTGTAGCTAAGAGGCCTGAGCCTGTTGTAGTCTTCTTGACCTGCACAAATTCAAATGAAATGATATCTGCATCTAATTTTCAAATCAAGCCCCTTATAATTTTCCTGGCAAATGATATCAATGTGGTATTTTGCCTCCAAATGCAATTACGGAATTTTTTTTTGGCAGACTAATTATACTAAAAGAGATCACCAAAGTGATATTTGTGTCTAAACCAAGATTCACGGTTAACCCATCGACAGCCACATTTGCGCTAAAATTTAGTATCTTTTTTCATTAAATATAGGTAGAATATTAAAGAAATTTTTTATAGTATTTCTATATAAACTATGCAACAATCTAACAATAGTACTGAAAGAAAATGACAGCAACAAAAGAAAATACCAGCAGTGTCCCAGAGGCCAAGATTAACGGTTAACCCATCGACAACCACATTTGCACTAAAATTATCGAACACAGTTGGAACATAATCCTGCCAAAATCAGGAAAATCACAAGAATCTATCAATACCCACAAGTGACTGCATACATAGAAATAATACATAATATGAAAAAAAAATACTAAACAAGAAAAAATGTGAAGTAAGAGAGAGACATTAGGAAAAGTGTTACTAGTGTAGGATATAAGGAGGCAAGTTTTGCCAACAGCTCCATCTCCAATCGTCACACACTTTATAAACCTTGAATTGTTGCTCATTTCTTCCTTCTATTTCTCCTGAAGAACAAAGAAATGAATATATAAGAAAATAACTCTCTTCAACTTGAAGGCTCTATGATGAGTTTCTTTCAGCTGTCAAAAGAGAGGGGGGGAGAGAAACCTTAGTCTCACAAAGAACATGGAATGATTCTGTCTCCTCTCTCTCACTAGTTAAATGTACGTAGTTAGTTCTGTGCCTGAATTATTAACCGTAGGATTAGCATCAGACTGTCAGATATAGATTTTGGCCCAAATGTCACCAGACCATGCCTTAGCTGGCTGCCAGTTAAGTGCCCATCAGAAAGATTTAGCTTTATATTCACTTGATTAATGTGGAATTTGAGTAAGAAGAATCTATTTAAGAATCGTATTAGCATCTGCGCGTATTTTTCAGAATTTTGTTATGTCCTTCGGTTCTTTGTATAATTGGTTATCAGTTTTCAGTTCAATTTACTGTAGTAAAAATTTATCCATTTGGATTTACTTCATGAACTTGAGTTTCAGATTTGGATGAATTAGCTTGATGATGACAGAAAATTTACATAGTTTGAAAGCTCATGTCATTTTGGTAGTCTATTTGATAATTTGTTTCTTAAATTAGATCTGAATTTATTTGAAGCTGACAGGATGATATTCTACCGAGACGTAGTCATTACATGGGCAATAAAACTTTGAATATCAATTCTAACCTTTTAAGAAGCAACATAACTTAAACTTCAGAAGTTGATAAGATGAGGAAAGGCCATTAAGAAAAGAAAACGCACCAAATTATAAGAAAAAGCCAATGATGCCGAAGAAGAAATTAATAACGCAACCAGAATGATCAACTTGAAGAATTCTTCACTTATAGCCAATACTTATGCGAAAACTACAGTGATGCATATGTTGCATATTGATTGCTCACTAACTTGATGATATGTACTAATCACAAAAGATTGTGACAATAGTGCTCAGAATGAAATAATGCTAGAAGAAAGCACATACTGTTTATGGAGCACTGACAGTTCTTTCAATTTATATATCAATCTAGACGCGAGTATATTAAATTTAAAAAAGAAAAATATTGTATCATGTATCATGCATGACACATGACATACGAACACTTCATTCCCTATTATGATCAAGAGTTTCTGAGCCTGATATGTATCTCTTATGCTCTTATTATACGGCTTATTTGAGTTAGCTTTTTGAACCAAAAGCTTAGGCTCTTAATATATTGGACTGCTTAAATTGTCAAATTATAATCAGATTACTCTTAGATTCATACAGTCAAACTACAGTATTATCGTCACAATCAGAATAATTTAGGACTTGAGCATATTGAAAAGGACTTTATATAAGTTTGATGACACTTACTGAGGTCCTCCAGTCCTCCAGTCCCATCCTTTTTGCCTTTATCATTGCCATCTATTTTGGAGAGCTTTTTTTTTCTCCTTTTTTTTTTGGCCTTCCGGTTGACTGCTAATTAGGTTTGAAAACCAGTTAATGATAATCATTTTACAATCACAGCAAAACAGATACTTAATTTGCAATAGAAATGCACTTTGGACAACAAAATATGCAAATTCCTAACTTGTGTAAGTAACTTAACATTGGATTTGGAATTGGAAATACATTTCCTATGGCTTTGAAGTTGATTTCTTGCAAAAAATAATGCATGCAGCATATTCTACATGCAACATTTGTTGCGTTTACGATTGAAGCAAACCAAACAGCCGCTCAATTAAAGCTTTATTCCTTCATGTTAAATTTCAACAAGTAACATATAACATGCGACATTTGTTGCATTTACAATTGAGCAACCAAATAGTTGCTAAATTAAAACTTTCTTCCCTTATGTAATATTTCAACATGTAACCTATAATGATAAATTTATACAAACAATGTTATGCTAATAGCAAAATAATAAAGGATTATGTACCAAAAAAATATTCAATAAGAACCACGTAAAAAAATATTCAATAAAAACCACGAAAATGTTACATATTCTATTTCAAAAGGCCAAAGAAAAGAAGGAAGACAAAGAAAACTGATTGAAACTGCTCGCATTTTCTGTTAGTCACAACACAAAAACGCAAAATTTACACAATAGATCTATCTGGTTCACTAAAAAATCTAGGATTTGGAATGAAAAAGCAATTCTAGGAGCAACAAGAGGTACTTTCGGTATAATAGGATTCCATATATTTTGTCTGTTTCAAAAAGTTTTTTAAGAAAATGTTTCTATAAAAATACAAAAGCAATCAATTTTTAGGGTTTGCCAAATCAATTTTCAGAGAGGATTTCGGTAGAATGCTTATACATTAATGCCACCTCAATATTTCCTCCTCTCTATTTTTCTCTCTTTTTCTAATTTTGCTTTCCTAATTTTCTTTGGTTCAGGGTTTGAACCAAACATGAGATTATGAGTTCTAAGATTTCTTTTTCTATTATCATGTTGAATTCAGATAAAAAATTAGCAATTCCAAGATACCAATCAAAAGCAATAGATTTGATTTGATGATAGAGATTCTATTTCCTATATTTTTAGGAACTGAACCAAACAGCCCCAGTGAGACAAATAGGCATGATACAAGAAATGTTAATGCCATCCACATCACTGATATCACTATCAAACACCCTTATGGCTCTACTCATGAACTTTAAGCCTTTTCTCTATGCACAAAATCCACAAAAGAAGATACTAATGATGAAAATAATAATGCACACACTATGCCTTTGAATGCCACAGTGACATGCTTTGTGGGTTCACTCATGAGTCTCAACCAACCATCAATGCATAATGTCCCACATTTGATCATGCCCAGCATTCACCGATCACATAAACAAATTGAAACCAATCAGTAGAGTACAGAACAGCAGTACAGGACAGCAGACGAATTAAGTTAATGGAGCCATTCTCATAGAATATTGATCAAAACTTTATAAAAGTACTGCTACATCTGCAACACAAGTGGTTGTTTTACTTAGTTGATTAATTTATGTTACATACATCGACGCTCATGAAGACCGCCAAGGATATGATGGTGATTTATATCGTTGTGAGAAAGGAGGGGGCAAAAAATTTGTTGGTCTCAGTCGTTCAGAGTTGCTCGACATGTTGAGTGATTGAATCTGGACAAGACTGGACTCGAAGGAGCTCTAGGCGTTGAAAAGGGTGAACAAACTGCAGAACATAATCTTCATCTGCAAGCAAGGGGAAAAAAGAGGAGGAAATGGGGATAAGGATCCAAAAGAAATAATTAGAAAATGAAGAATTGCTGCAAGTGATCGAAAACTCACTCTCCTTGACAGTTCCATACAGCCAACACAGGACCTCATCAGCAAATGCGAGGCATACGCCCCCCTATAAAAAAAAAGCAGCAAGAACCAATCAGACAATGCTTCCAATAAAAATAAGAATATCATAACCTTTATCCCAAAATTTTGAGGTTGGGTACATGACTCTTATTCTTCTAGTTAGTTCTGTTTAAGGACCATCCAATCCACTAAATTAACCATTATCATGTCATTGCTTCCAACCACATCATATGCAATTTTGTTCATTTTCATTAAAAAACTAGGATACATGAAAAATATTATATTGCACAAATTACGTAGGAAGATTAAAATTTCTTCACCTCTCTACATATTAACTTTTCACATATCCAAATTCCAAGGCCTCATATCCATCAAAATAACTGTAAAATGCTGTTCCATATAGACGAAGTTAGTCAAGGGATTTCCTTGAAATACTAGTTTAAATTATTTTATTCCAAATATAGCCTGAACTTCTTTCCAGAGTTTGAATTTGAATGCGGGGCTTCCCATATTATCAGGGCATTGTATTACTATATTTATTGATTAATTAATTAACATTGACCAGCAGCCTATTGTTGTGAGGTGGAAATGGGTCCCTTGTTTTGACTTGCAAAAATGAAGATATACCTGCCAATAACTTTTCATCTTCACTCTCTGTGTTATGTCCTTAGTTCGTAGCCTCTCAGTACGAACTAATATGCCTGCATCATCCCTGTCAAAAATATCAGAGGATTGGTAAGCATGAAATGGCTGTATAAACTAGCAAGAAAGCGGTAGCAAATATATATAAGCAGGCAACACCCTGATTTGAATATCAAGAAAACCATGGAAAAGTTTAAAAAAGTAACATGATTTATGGAAATATAACACAACCTGATACATATGAATTCAACATCATGATAAGAAAGAAGAAAGGCATACGTAACAAAAATGGCTACCTGAACCCAACAACAATAAATGGGACACCTGCTAGGAACGATTGGATCTGCAACAATACAGAGAAACCAAACCATCATTTATACAGAACAACTTTTTTGATATTTGGCAATGACAATTAGAAGTTAAACGTCATATCGCAAGGGCTAATTTAAGAACTTACTAGAAGGAAAAAAAGGACTAGCATCAGAAAACAAAAACTAACTCTTCTCATTATCAAATAGCACTACCAACTGACTTAGAGAGATGGGGGCATGTCATTTCAGATAATTGAGATTTTTCTATACATCAGTAGAAAGCCAGTTAGTATGAGAGCAAGATAACTAGGTAAGTGTGCATCCACTTTAACTTTTGCTTGTTTACCTTCCAATTCATTTGTGTCCTTTTGCTCTGCTTAAGTGTCTTATCATCATATCATGTTTTTTATAATCCAGAGTTTGTTTATAATTTATGATTGTGGAGGCAGACAGAAATAAAAAGAACTAGAGAATGTTTAGGAGTGTTTTTCTACGAAGGACGGAGAAATACTATGCTCTAGAAATTAGCAAAGTACTCAGCATATGCGACCGTGTTGCTCTACATAGAGTTACAGTTCTGAAAGTAATTCAGCTATTTCATGCCTGCAGAGCAAGGACAACAGGGGGAATGTGTTAATTGGATTTTGGAAGCCTTCCTATATAAACCAATCCAGAGAGTGAGTTATGATGACGACAAGATAATTAAGTGAACGGGTAGTTGTTTTAAGTAACACTTGCATTTAGCAAGGTATTACTTCAGCTTTCATTTCAAGTAAGATCTCTTTTTTTAAAATTCAGAGTAAATGAAACATAGAAAAAGATAAAAGAACACGATAAATGATACTACACATAATCACATGACAGTGCTATAAATGTGGTGAGGTGCTAAAGCTAAAATTCATGAATTATAATATGGCAAGAGAGTTTTTACCCAGAATTTAAGCAATTTCTCTCTCTCGTATCTTTCTTCAGTGCGGTAATCCAACTAAGGTACACAAAAATTCAATGAGAGAAAACTGTCTTATCAATCAATATACCAAAGAGAAATTATTAAAATCAAGCATAGGGGCAAAAAATTTACCTCACGGCTTGTCTTCAGTTCTATGTAGAACTTTCTGCCATCATCAGGTGAATCACAGCAGTCCATCTCTGCACCCATAATAATACGATGTGCCCCTAACTTGGTTTTAATTACAGCACAGAACTCCACATTTGCATCAATACCTTTGCCATCTCCATCTATTTCTCTAGAGTTCTCAGTGGCAAGATTCTCAAACGAATATCCCCAATAGCATCTGGGATCATAAAGTAATAAATTGTCAGTACTCATATTCCCAACCCAGGGCATGCTAGCAGAACTAATGTATGTCAGCTGGCATCTAACTGTGTGAAAACAGAGACATAATTACACTTAAATTGGTTTTCCTCGCTAAAATTAATGCCTAGTACAGTCATATACAGAACTGAAATCCAGAATTCACTAAGAGAATCTATGTCTGACATGATCAGTGAGACTGAGGATTCTGCAAGTAAGTTTTCTGCTACATATACAAAGAAAGAATAATATCCTGTTCAGTTCCAGCAAGATGGTTTGTTATCAGGCAGTTGGAAGGGGGTTTGAGGATTCTTAAATCACCTTTGATTAGTGTTGCCCTCACCTGAGTAGCATGGCTCAATACTTGAAAATTTTAAAAAGCGCACATCAAAATTTGTTGAACAGATTGCATGCAATACCAAAGTGAGACACCTGCTCTGGGAGGTACCAGATAATTGAGAGACAGTTGACTGAAACTATGGAAGTAACAATAACAAGGAAAGATTTAGAAACTAGCCACTGGGTAATTATGGTGTATAGGTAAGTGAACAAATTGACAACATTATGGCAACAAAGGAGAAAACATCTTTTTGACATTTGAACTAATTATTTTTTATGAAAATAATTCTACCACGATGATAAGTCACAAGCAGCAGTATAAATAAAAGCTATCATAAGTCATATTCAAATGCCAGTATGTCATATTCAAATAATTCTACCACGATGGTAAGTCACAAGCGGTATACATCAAATCTGCCAATGACAAGGATAGCATGCGGCCATGGACAATAGCAACAGTACATCCTTGAATACATTACCACTAAAGTCTCAAAGTTTGAACCTTGAAAGGGATGCAATATATCCTATATTATAACTTGAAGAAATTTAAGATCATTAGAAGGTAAAGTAGCAGTGGTGTACCTTCTGCGGTCAATCTCACTTTTTGGCCTTTCAGGAAGCTTATGCACATTGAGATAAACAACACCTTTCCTTTTATGAACGCCCATTTTCCATGGCTCATTTCTTATGTAAGCTGTAGCTAGTATCTGAAAAGAAAACAGGTAAAGCCTCTTTTGCATTCATTCCAAACTGAAAGACAATATTACTCCAATCAAGCAATTCACCTAAGATCCCTAGTACTGGAACAATCAAAAACTAGCTTCAGGGCGATAGGAAGTAATGGCATACCTTATTGAGGTTGTTGCGAAAAGTCTGTCAAAAGCAAAACATAACTAAGTACAATAGATATCAAACAGATTAAATGAAAAAAAAAAAAAATCCCTAATACAAGCCTGAGGCATCATGATAAACTAATTGCATGACCAATCCAAACATTAAAAATTAAATGAATGCAAAAAAGTATTCACCACGAAATGTATATTCTGGAGAGGAATGTTTGTGTTCCTTATGCACCCAAGGAGATGACCAAACCCTTCATCACCCATATCTGACAGAAAGGATGATAAATAAAATTAAAACACAATACCAGCATAATTAAGAGCTATAGAAACAAACATTCAAAATAATATGACTGAAGGAAGAAACTTACTACTCCAAATCATCACAGAAAGAAACTTTAATATGGAACTTCATTACAAGATTCTGAACATCAGAAACATAAAAGGAAATAATAGACATAACAAGGGATACAGTTCATAGATTTGTATGTCTACAAGGATCCGACTACAGATTAGAAATTTAGGAGATAAGAATTTTCACATATCTGAAAGTTGTAGAACTGGATGAAGCTTTAACGACAGATACAAGTCACCATACAGGATAACGCATAAAACAAAACGCAACTGTAGCTACATGGTTCTCTATGTCATGTTATTTGTCTTAAAAAGCCCTGGGAGTTAGCCTTGCTGTGCCAGTCGAAAGTATGAGCCTTTAATAATAGTGGGTACTGAAACTGGCATGGTTTTATGAGTTTTTGGACTTCAATTGAATATTCTACAGAAATTCGATACAAAATTGGTTAAAACAGACTTTTAAAACACTATCTGTAGAGCCTACAACTAGAGTATTAGCCAGTTTAACTACATTACAAACCAGTAGTATCTACAAAAACCTGGAAGAGAGAACTACAAGCATGCTTGAGATATGGGAGTTCTTCCTTGTCTGCAGGTACCATATTATTTGCTACATTATTTATAGACAATATAACCTGAAATTTTAGACACTTAGCCAACCAGAAATTGACAATCTCAGGTCTACATACTGACGGATGGCAAATTAGATGAAGCAACTAAGTAAATAAAGGTACAAAAGAAAAGGGTATAAGTAAATGTTCCTCCATTAAACAACATGTCGAAAAGATAATATTAGTAATAACGAACCATTCTTGTAAGGAAAGGATCTTGTGTAACTAAAAAGATGAATGTTCATAGGGTAAACATAACAAATTGAACTGGTGTATGAATATGCAAGAGGGATATGACATACATAGAGGAAACAAGCAAAAAGGAGCAACAGGAAAATAAGAGAAATACCTTACAGCAGGGAAAAGCTAACATAAGATGATACGATTGTCTTCAAATCTTCAGGCAAGATGATAAATGATTGAAAATTAAAATACTAAAAGATGCAAAATCTATCTTATATGTGAGAATATAGGGATGTCTGAATCCTACATCTGTTTTTAGTCAATGTTTAATCATGTAACACTACCATCAGAAATTCATGAGAACATACAGCCAACATATGTGAAGTACTGTTTCTTTATAAGATCATCAACAAAGTGCAGTGACAATAACAAGTTCAAAATAGAAAATAATTAGACAGGAAGTAAGAAGGATTTTGTCTAGCGTAGTAATAACTTATGAAGAATATTGCATACCTCTTTTTTCAATAAATGACTCGAACCCCATATTCAAATTTGCTCCAACATCCTCAGATATCATACGTTTGAAAAGTCTCTAGCAGTACAAGAAAAGAAAGTGCAATTTACATTACATAAGAAGCATGTATATGGGCCAAATTTAAGTGCACAGTCATCTAAATAGTTACGTGCCAAACCAATTATGAGACACCCCAAAAGGGATACTCTTCCTTCTCTATAATTGATGTTAACACTCATATTAGATAAGATAATGATTTGGATAATTTCAATTTAAAAGTTAGCAACAAACATTAGCTATATGACGCAGATTAAATATAAGCAACTAATGCCAAGGCAGTAAGAAAGTTAACCTGTAGGATACAGATTCAAATTTAAGCAACTCATGCATACAAAATAAGAAAGTTGCAATTAATGTTTGGACTCTCACCAAGCTACGATCATCAAAATAGACATCTCCACTTTCAACCCGGCTATAGCATGCAATCTCGCAAGGCTTTTGGATGAAAATTTGCATGTAAAAAAATGTCAGCAAACCAACAGGATAAAATAAATTTTAAATAAAAGCAACAAAACAAAGTAAGCACATCTAAACTACCTCCTGAAATGCAATTGCTTTTCGAGATAGAGTTTCTTCACTCTTCGTGAGCCTCATTTCAGAAACAAAATTCTCAGGATTACGTCCATTGGAAAAGCGACCAAAACCAAAATTTTGCCTTTGGGGATAAGGACCTGGTCTCGGAAGCAGGCCGGATCCTCTACCACGCCCACCAAAGCCTCCTCTTCCATGATTATTTGTAATTTGTTGAGGAGGTAGAACTGCCATAGAGGTGATATTTTTGTTAGGAGGTAAAAAAAAAAATCCATAATTCTGTTGCAAACAAACCATTTCTTATTACAATTAGAAGAGGTTACATCAAACCCAAGAGAGAGCAGATATGTTAAACCGTGATCAAGTCAAATCATCTCAAACTTAATAATTGTATCTTCAAGAAAGCATTTTCAATGAGCTACAATAAGCTCAAACATCAACGCATGGATGCTCAAATATCAGTTTTACTTGATTACTATCCTATTAGGTCCCAATATATAGCTTTTAAACAGAAAATAACACATTGCAATTATTTACTCTCAAGCATTTTTAAATAGCAGTTGGCTCATATTAAACAGAAAATACAAAAACTATATTTATTAGAAGCAGACAAAACCAAAAATACACATTTCAGGCTTATAGATATTTCTATTCTAGCAGTTCCAATATACAACAAAATTATGTTAAAAACCCTAGTCCTGGATAAAGTTTAATCTTCCAAGAAATGTAAACCCAATTGTTTCCTTCTAATTCTAGCAAAAGGCTTTAATCTTGAACCAAATCATAACAAAAAAGACCAAACTAAATCTGGAACCAATATGTTGCTTTAGAACGGAAAAGTACAAGTTTCACTGTTTACTCTCAAGCATTTTCAGACAGTTGTTGGCCCATATCAAACTGAAGAGTACAAAACTATATCAGAATAGACAACATTTCACCAATTTAGACTCTTGAGCTTCTGGATATTCAACTATTCCAGCAATTTTAACACACAACAATAATTATATTATAAACCCTAATTCAGGAGAAAGTTTTAGCTTCAAACAAATGTAAAGATAATGGTACTTTCTAATTTGATAAAAAAGCTTCACTCTTGAAGCGAAACATGACAAAAAAATTCCAATTTTTAGCAAGCTACAGTAAGGCTCAATGCATGACATGTTCAGATTTTATCCTATGTATATCAAAATCTTGCTTTTGAACAGAAAATTACACCTTTCAACTACTTACTCAAGCATTTTCAGTTGTTGACTCAAAGTTACACCATAAGGAGATAAAACCCAGAGAGGCACAAAAAACACATTAAACTATTTGAGACTCTCAGCATTTATGTTATGTTAAAAACCCTAGTTCAGGAGAAAACTTTAGCTTCAAACAAATCTAAACCTAATTGTTTCTTTCTGATTCAATAAAAAAGCTTAAATCTTGACCAAAAGCTAAACCTGGAACCGGGAACCGACTCCTTGCTGCAGTCCTCACATACTCCTCATTATCAGAACCAAATAGATCTCTCTCCTCCTCCTCTTCCTCCTCCTCGATCTCATCCTCGTCACCAAACAGATCC